CTTTTCAAAGTTGTACTTCCTTGTAGCAAATCCAAACCTTTTCCACAATATTAACCTCTTGATTCTGCAATATATTACGATGCAGATACACAATAAAAGCTCAAATTATTTCATTCCCTAGAATCTGTATTGCATCCATGAAGTTTCCCTGGTGATCAAACAGGTAGTCACAATAGTAGTGGAAAGTGAGGGATGGGACATCAAAGCATATAAAAGCAGGTTTAAAGTGTAAAATCACACAAAATAACAAAACAATATTAAGGTAGACACAATCTACAGTCAAACAATTTCTATGGTATTTTAGGCACATTTTGGTTCGTACTTCGCGATGTTGTCCCGTATATATACGTATACCTAAAATGATCTTTATCAACAACTTCAGGTTTTCAAGTCTTTTCTGGCATGTGACGAATGAAGTCCAACCAGCAGGAGAATTTTGGCAGATCAAAGAAATATTCTATCAAATTCAAATGTAATGTCATGTCTGTAATTTGGCAACATGGCCAATTAAAGAAAATAAACATGTTGACAGGGAATATCAAAGTTAACCTGTTCTTGTTTTAATAACATTTTAGAAGATTCTTTTCTAGGGAATTTTCTTTGCATGTATGGAAGTGCCCAAGGGCTCTTACTATAGGAGGAAACTGGAGTATCTGTGGAAAACCCATCTGCTCGGGCAGGTGACTCCATACCTTTCCATATCCATTCCAGGAAATAAACCTTGGATGGCTAAGTGATAAGTGAGTGTTACTATTGTGACACCTGACCATCACAGACCTATGGGTAATTTATAAGATTTTGAAGATCTTCTACAAAAAACACAATTTTACACTTATAGTATTTCCATATTCATTCCAGTTTGCACATATACACGAGGAAGATGTAGTTGCTAATATTATGTAAGACTACAAGCACATCCTTGGGGTTCTTAATCCACGAATAACGATATAGGACCACACATCCTCCCAGAATATCACAATAATCACCTGCAATTGCTCAGTAGTCAAGATGAGCAACACTGATTGTTATTTAAATACTGTTTTACAATTCTTCTTGAAGCTGAATCTAGCCATTAACATTACACAGTAAAGACATGTTACCTTTGATATGTCCAATTTTCCATTAAATTTACATATACACGTTTTTTTCATCTTGACATGTGTTTTATCATACTAGTTATAAGAAGAGGAAGCATTTGTAAAGAAACATGAGACCCCTCAGACAATACCCAATGTTTAACAGTAATTTATTTCATTTCAGTAATAATTACTTTAGTATGCATATCTCCCACTAATTCCCATTCATTTGTATATAATATAAACGAAAAAAGAAAAAAGTTTATTTCAAACCTGATTAGTGTCCATTGGAAGACAAATGATATCCAACTCATAATCAAGGTTACCATATATCTATCTATATGCTGTGAAGCTAATTCCATAGAGAATCATGTAAATATAATGATATGTATAGGCAAAAACTGCTCACATGAAATCAATGACAAAAGAAAGTCATGTTAAAGAGCCAATTTGTAGCGTTAAATATTCCTAAAGATGCTCACAGCTTGTAGATAACAATGAAAACAATGGTAACCCATATTAAACAGTCCGAAACAGTTACAGTCGCCATTCGTATTTATCAAAAATTTGCACATTATTTTCATGTTGTCACCCTCTAAAAGCTGTTTTGAATCAATCTCACTACTTGGTGTTTCATTACCAGTAAATTATTTTATTAATTCAAATGAATTATCCCATTTTCTCAAAACTATGGTGAAATTTTCTCACACTTAACATTCCTCCACCACCATCACTGAGGGTCCCTCTTCTTGCTGCCATAATTCAAGATAATAGATTCAACAATCTGTATCTCCAGTAAAATGTAAATTAACTAGGTATTGTCTGCCATTACATCCTGTATGTCTTCAGTCTACGGTTAAGTTTCCTTTACGATGAGGTCAGTATACATCTGTTGTTTCTAGTAATTTGTTTTCGAAGTCTGCCATTTTTTTTCATTTGCTGTTATTTGTGGGCCTGCAGCAAAATCTAAATCCAATGCATTTCCATTTAAGTTAGAGGTGTGACAGGAAACCAGTATCGGATGTTTGGTAATCACTTTTAAGTTATGGATCTTGAGGAAAAAAACATTTGGAAGAAGTAAATTTTGACACTATTGGAATGTTTAACCGGGGAATTAATTGATTTAAACGAAAAGCACACTTATCAGTCCCTGAATTCTTTGAATACACTACAATACTTTTACATGTATTTAAGATTGATACAAAAAATTCACCTGCAAAAATAAATGTTTAAATTCTTTACTTTAAATCATGATAGATTTATGGTAGCCAATTTTCCATGAAACAACAGTCATAAATTTACCACAAAACAGCAGTCATAAATTCTTCATGAAGCGACAATCTGAGGGAATATTTTATTTTCCATTTCGAGCATCAGATGTTCTGATCCCGAACTCAAATTAACAAGTCGTTGGATGGACAAAATTTGTATCTTTGTAGTCCTTAACATATTTTGAATCTAAATGACTTAGACGCTTTTTCTAGGATTTTTCAAGCCTATGGATAATCAATTGAAACTATGCACACTGTAAACAATATAGCATCGATGAAAAGACCTGTAATTTCCCTTTATATAAGTATTAGTGATATGTTTTAACCAAGTGCTAAATTTTCTTCACAGAATAATAGCAACTTTCATATTCTTAAGGATGAGTTATGGGGACCTCAACCCTCAATAGAAAAAAATTCAGTTTGCAACTTAATAATCTTACCCCAAGGGTTGAGATTTCCCTATCATACCCACATGGGGTAAATGATTATTTTCTCTTACCCTGCTTTCTATCCACACATATATGCTATTGATGCCTGGCATTGTTAAAGTGATCTCATTGTCATGAAAGGAGACTCCAGTACTCCCACCCCTATATCTTAAGTGAGACAAGGAAATTTCACTCTGATATTGGTAAATATCAGGATATATAAGTCCAGGATATGATAAAAAATAAGATTCCATTCAATACAAAGCCTGTGAGACCAATATGGAATTGATAGCTGAATATGAAAGATTTCTCCGTTGTGTGTGACAAATAGAATCTGCCTTATAGATATTGAAAAGGAAAGATGCGCTGGCTTTCTTTCATTTTTTTCATTCAGACGGAAAGTAGGTACAACAACTTTATGCCAGAAGATAAAATCACTCAATGCATGTCCTATGGAGTGGTGGTGGTCAAGCTAGTGAGTAAATGCAATCTGTTCCTGACCTAAGTTTTCTTACAGATTATAATACACCTGCAAATGAGTGGGTGAGTAGTCATATTGTGCATATCCTGTATGATCTTCATTTATCAAATGATCCAGTCAAACTGATTCATAACCATTAGTTACTTATGTTATTGTTATCGATAATCAAAATATCAGGTGGTTTTAAATACCGTTATAAAAACACAATGCATGCATTCAATTTAATGGCAAGTCATAAAACTCGAACAATACTCATATCTGCTTGCATTCATGGATAACTTAAAAGGATTTTTTTAAACACAAATCATTTCTTTGAAATTAAATATCATTTGTTTAGTTGTTAATTTATTTTCAATATTTCAATTTATTTAAAAATTGTATGTGTTAATGTGTCAAACATTAAAGAGAAAAAATAATTACAACATTATTGCGATTTCATATTACATGCACCTGTAGTCACTTAGTAAAGTTAAAAAGGAAAAAGGATTTTAAAATTTCAATATACATACTGTATTCAAAAGTAAACAAAACCTGGAAACATTGTAATACATAGTCTATTGGCATTTACTCTTTTTCAACACAGGTTGGGAGCACAATGCTACAGTTTGTATAAAGTGCAAATGACGAAAAACTTTTTTCACAATGAGTACTTTCTATAACGCTTTTCCTTTCTAAATATTAAGTCTGAGGTGTGTTTGATGAAATAGAAACTTGTATATGCACACTTGTGACAGTTTAAAACCTTTTTTAATCATTTACATCTGCAACTTAAAACTTGATAATTAAACCCTAATACCAAAAGGAAGTAACAAGCAAGGTGTCGTGTATTACAAATATAATGAAATATTTCAAGATCGTGTCTTGCTCCGACTCGAATGAAGGTTGGACATTTGAGTTAGTGTCCTCGAGTAAAACGTTTATCATATATGTAAAATGAAGTTGGGGGCTAGCAGGGAGAGATGTAGACTACTAATTAAAATTCAGTAGTATTTTAAATATGGCCTTACCTGAGTCTGTAACTTTACGTCAATGTTAATCTCCATTGACGCTTTAGAAGGGACATTCAAGAGTTGGTAGTGCCGATATATTTCCATAGTGGGTTCGTAATCTTCAAGTAAACTGTTACCCGTGTATGGTTTCCACAGCTGGCTAGTACTCCCGAACTTTAAAACATCGTCGTAATGACTATCAACAGGGGGCACATTTACTGTTGAAATGCTTTTTTCTGTGACTGTCATCTGCACAAATATACTCAGATAAATCCACACAATAATTCCTAGTCGATAGGTGTTATCCATATTTCCAAACTTTGGTTTTTGATGTGGGAAAATTGCCAAACTGTTGTAGCGATACTAACAGAACAGTGACACTACCATAGACCGTCACAGAACATGTTTAGCCCTGTGCGTAAGCGTATACTTGACCCAGAAGGGTAGAAAACGGCTGTGCCTTCTGATAAACACACTCCCCTCTATTGCTTGAATATAATCTTCAAAATCCACTAAGTCATGTTTACTAGCTGTCTGGTGTTATTTGGAAAGAGTATCTGACTTATTTTAAAGATAAAATATATCAAAAATGAAAGTTATTTTGGGAATAATCACGTTTATAATGTGAAAGGTATCTAATTTGACGAAGGAGTGAGTAGAATCGATAGAACTATCAAGTTACAAGTTTTGACTGCTGTCTCCAATCCCCGAAAATTTAGCGGCTGCTACAAGTCTGACGAAGGTCATCGTTTATCGTTATGAAGACGAGGTAAAATGTTCTGTCATCGATGGAGATGAGCGAAAAGTTGTTGGATTTCATTTCGAAAACAGGGTAAGCTATATAGAATTGTAGATAAATTATGTACACAGGTATTTTATTTATCAAACCAACATATACAAACGTCAGGTCTCGTGTCGCTCGCATGCTTCAGAAATCTTAAGGAGATCGCCGATCTGAATAATTTGTATGTATGTGAATTTAGCGTGTGTAGATACGTCTTGTCAAATGAAGAAAATGACACTGTAAATGTTCATCGCATCAAAATGACGCTTTGCGAGTCCACGTTCGGTAAAGTTACTCTGTTGGAACGCTGAATCTGAGGGTGCAGAGGGAAGATTATCAATTAAATGGTTTATATATAACACGGTGTGTAGATAGAGTATTGAATCAGTTGTAAAAATATTACAACACTTTATAACATTGTAGCCATTTGTTTTTAATGCATTTAATACTGAAAGAAGCAATACTTATACAACGTTACATTTAGACAGCAAACTGTCAAAATAAGCTTTAAGTACTTTGTAGCCGGACAAATTTAGAATCAAATTCATTTAAATGTACTCTAGCTTAGGTGAAGAGGATTTATGTTGAGTTGTTTAATGTTGACCAATCATTATTCAGGAGTGACATAACAGTATATTTACCGTTTAACCACAGGTGATCAATGTCTATTTCTTTCAATAGGAGGTCTCTCTACACCAAACTTCTCTATACTGGAACTATTGTTACACACACAAGCTACAGTTGGAAACCAATTGTAACCACTTGAGTGTATGAGGGGGAGGACCCAATTTGTTTAAGGGCAGCCCCATGGGGCCAGTAGGAGTAGTGTCAGTAGTCATGCACACTAAAGAGATAAATAGATCCCTTGACCCCATATATTACAAAGGTCAAAGGTCATTGAGCACTTTGAAGTTTAGGGTGCCAATCAACAGGTGTGGGAAGACAACCTAAGCCAGACAGGTGAAATTGATAGGTGTGCACTAATCAACAGGTAAACAGTGGTAGCAGTTGTTGGTGGGTATACTGGTTTGTTGTTGAAAGGGGAGACAGCGGGAGGAGGTTAACAGTAAGTTAATATTGTCCAGGTGTATGTGTATGTTGGGGCACTTATGTAAAATAGGGTTAGGCTTTCAAATCCTGTGCAATAAATGATGTCATATTTCAAATTATTATAAGTGTAAAGGAAACACAAGGAAAGAAATATATATTTTACACTCATATAAAAGCATAATTAGTTGTACTTAGGTATAATGTTAACCTCAGAATGAAAATCAGTTCATTAATTAACAGTCATTATTGCTCGTTTAAAGTCACAAAATAATTTGAAGGCAGAAGAACAAGTCAAATGAGAAGCAGATAATTAAGGACAACTGATATTTCACAGTTTTGTTGATGCTGAATTAGTAAATTACTGGAATTATAAAAGTGAATGTTAGGGTTTGTAACATGGCAAGTTACAGAAGCCACATAATCATTTTGCTATCAAGGTACCACTGTAGTGTGACAATCATGTTTGAAAGATATATTTGTGAACCGTTGAAGAAATTTATTACCTGATCTTGTAGTGTTTTATATGTTGATACTTAACCATTACAAAATGCATTACGAAGAACAGTAAAATGCGTACAGTTACCCAGTATATTTACATTTACATGGGTATTAAAAAACATTTCTGATTTATTTCTGGTTAGTTAATCTAATTGGTGATATATAAAGTGGCATCAAATTCCTTAAGGAAGTTAGCAAAATGAAAGTCTTTTGAAGGCATTCATGTAAATGTTAATAGATTTCCTTGTTACTAGTGTAACAGAGGTCATTATTTATTTTAATGCCTCAGTTAGGAATCAAACCCAGGACCCCTGGCTTACTATTCTGACGCTCAACCAATCAAGCTAACGAGAAGTTCTCTCTAGCTAAGTGGTATATTGTGGCTAGTATTTTACCAGGGTTACATACTCCCCCTCCAAGAAATAACTTGTCCTCGAGTTTCCAGGGGTTACAGCGATGCTGGTGGGGCAGGGCTAAGTACTATTCCCAGGTCCCTACATGGGCACCAGTGTAACAGAGGTCATTATTTATTTCAATGCCTCTACTAGGAATCGAACCAGAACCCCTGGCTTACTAGTCTAAAGCTCAACTGACTGAGCTAAAGAGAAGTTCTCTCTAGCTGAGTGGCTACTATTTTACCAGGGTTACACTATTAATGCTTGCTTCTGGAATACAGACTAAAGATTTACTGAGCATGTTTATCCTACCATTAGCTTGATGGACCACCATATTATGAAACAGAGGTCATTATTAATTTCAATCTGCAAGGATTCAAACTTTGGGCTTCTGGTTTTACTAGTCTGACATTCAAGCGATCAAGAATAGAAAGTAGTTTTCTATAGTCAAGAGTTCTATTGGGGCTAATATTTTACTAGGGTTACACAGTCCTCATCATAAAATAAGTCATCCATGAGTTTCTAGGGGTTACAGCTACGCTTGTGAAAGAAAGGCTTAGTATTATTCCAGAGTTCTTATGCAGGTGTCCATGAAGCAGATGTCATTATTTATCTCAATGCCCGCACTAGGATTCGAATCTGGGACCTCTGGTTTATCTGTCTGAGGCTCAACTGATGAACCTAATAAAAAGTTCTCTGTAGACAATTGGTATGTTGTGGCAAGTATTTTACCAGTGTTACATAACATTTACTCAGAGACAGGAGTTGGCTTGTTATTAGTCAGTGATGTAGTATTTGTTTATAGTTTTACTCAGCAGTATTATGGATGTACGTATAATTATAAACATGGGCTTATTGCCGAATAACTACGGTAATGCATTATTTGGTTATCTCCATTCTTTGTAGTTGCCATGCACAATTTTATTGTTTTTTGATGGAAGAATAAATGCTATAGAAAGAGCTGAATGTATTGAAGAGAGAACAGGATAGCTATTTCACACATAGATTGTTTCTAAATATAAAACCAAACAGGAAAACGCTGACAGTTATATATGTATGGTAGCAACTACTAGCTGTGAAAAAAACCATTTTACCCAACTCTAAAACATTTTTCTCATTCATTAATCAAACAACATCACTTACATGCCAGCTGTAACATGTTGACAAACCATTGAGTTCTTTAAAAATCTGCCTGAATTAACAGGAGTATATGTAGAGATTTTATACTGTGACATGGAGATGGAATTAATGATAATTGTGATTTACAAATCTGTACTTTTAATGAAACAATCTTGATTTCATGCCAGTGACTACTAGCTGTACTATTTATGTTTTTGATATATTATAGATATATAGGTCAATCCAATGTAGAGATAAGACTCTTTTAGGTAAAATGATTTCCAGTCACTGATAATAAAAATATATTTTACATGAACCTGCAACATCCATCCATTCAATCTGTGGTTAAAGGTAACATACTTTGCTCCTTCATGTTATGCTGCAATAAACTGGTCATCTGACCAATGGTCCCTTGACCTTGTTTTGTCCTGACTGCAGGTCCTTTAACCTTGTATTGTCTGGATTACAAGGCCCTTGACCTTGTATTGTCCTGACTACCTGGTAAAGACACCTGCAGTGACAGTAGTATATTGATAAGATTGGTCATAAAACCACAGCGCCCTCATACTGGCATTGTTCTCTCGTGATTATCACAAAAAAAAGTTCAATGTGATGAATAAAGGACCATAACCATAACAAAACTGATTGCGTACATTAGCGCTTAAAGAAAACTCAAAGATTTTGTATCAGTTTGTTTGTTCATTCGCTTGATTTAGCACCCCATGAACAACCAGATTATTTTGAGGTAGGGTCTCATTAGCAGCTGGTTGCTGCCTTACTGAACATCAAATGGGAGGACCATCACATGCATTTCAAAGCAACTGGGGTCAAGTACCTTGCCCTAAGACACTTCCATGGCTGTTCAAGACCATCAATTATCATACCTTTCTGTGAAATGCAAATCTTCAGGGTAATAATTGAACCACACACTTTAGATTTTTACCTGATGTTGTAAAATCAGATTCCCTGTCCACTGAACCTTGTTAGCTAGCCCCTGCCTAAGTTTACAGCATCAAATATAGATTATTTGTGTACATGTGTATCTTTGTTTTTCTGCCATTAATACGCCAAAATACGTTGCTGATTGGTTCAAATGAATTACATAATATTTATAACAGTATATCAACACAGTAGAGTTAATGACATTCTCCGAACATTCACAAATATACTGCATTTATGATTGTAACACTAATTATAACAATGATAGTTTAGTGACCAAACGATAAAGTCCCTTATTGATTATAGGAATTTGAATCAACCTGTCTAAATGACAACCTGTATTAAGATGAATATTTCTCTGTATTTATTGGTTTTACAAAGTAATAGAGATATTACAGTATATGGTACTGCACTTTGTGACAGCGGAAGACAAAATTACACAGCCATATCATTAAAACAACTGTTTCTTACTTATGGGAACAATACAGAGATGAGTAGAATATTCATTTAGAACACCGGAAGATGTAAATGCTGTAATGAAAATTTTTGTCTTTGTCAAGGACTCATGGGATACATTTATACCTACATTTTGGAATTTTCGTACAGGAAATTGTAACAATTCAAAACCTCAAGTATCAGAAAAGGACATTTTTAGACCCGCTTTTCAAAGATTTAAAGCAGAATTCATCTCAGCATTATTGTCTTCGTGTGATAACTACTGTAAAATAATATATTTTCGTGGTTTTTCTAATATTTCTTTTTGATAGAAATTTGAATTCAAGGATAAATAAAGCTTAATAGATATACTTTAGACTGATTTCAACAGCTTGTTGACAAATGAATTCCAGGAAATCAGCTAAAATAAAACCCCCACAAAAATTAATGATCCATCGGTAACTAGTGAGTTCCTGTTGTATTGTATTATAAATCATGAACAGTTAAGAGATTTACTGACAACTTGTGTCTAAAATGGGAATGCTCCCTGCCAATTAGAAATTGTTGGCAAATTTTGGTGATAGAAGTTTCTTCCAGAAGGCTCAATGCCTT